TTATCTATGTATCCATATGTCATTGCAGGATATCCATGCTTCAACTGGCATTACGCTCGTCGGACTGGATCAAGGTCTCGGAGTGGGAGACTCAGCAATCAGGCTGGACTAGGACCAAGTTGTCTCTGCAGTACCATCAGGTATACCATTTGATGTCTCTATTGGCATTTGAAGTTACCCAAGTTAGTCATTAGGTATGCTGGCCCAATGTGATTTTCATATCTTTGATTTTCTTTGCATCTTACCTTACTTACAAGTGTATTTAAAATAGATGTATTTTCTTTCCAAAGCTATCGAACCAATGGTCCTTCGAGCAGTATAATACGATACATTATATCTATATTTTTCTTAGTTTTTGATGTATCTTGTAAATTTTGTCTTTCAGGATGCCATAAACAGTCACCTTTTAGGTCAGGAGGTGTCAGATCCCCCTCCATGGCTCCCCGATGACATCCTAAATGTTAACAGTATAGATGAACCAGACAATCTAATGGAGAAAATAAATGGTAACTCTGATGATAGAGTGACTGTGAAATTGTTATGTGGTGCTGATCTTTTGGAGTCGTTTGCAACACCAGGGTTATGGTCTGATGAAGATGTAAGTATCGAGGGTAGTTAAACATTCTGCGTCCTTAAGATATGTTTCATTTCAGCAAGATATGTATGTAGGATATACTAGCTGTTGCACCCGAGTTCATCTGCGTGTTGTTAAAAAAATAATAAAAAACGTAGCCTATGTAACACAGCTTTTTAATGGTGAAAGAAGTTATTTCAATACATGGAAAAATACAAATCTTTCCTCTTTATAATATTAGTATAGATATACATGAGAACTGGTGTCAAAATTTTCTTCTATAGTTTAGTTTTTTTTTCAACAAATGGTGTTTTTTACAATAGAATATTATTTTGTTTTTTTTAATTCTAGTTTTTGCCCGCGACTCCGTCTTGTGGTATTAAAAAAACATTGTTAAAAATAGTCTATGTTACTCTCAGATAAATTACCTTTCTAGCGGTGATATAATTTTTAAAATAGACCAAGTATTTGAGTCTATTCATTACAATCAAATAAAGTTTTCCTCATTATAATATTTGTATAGACTTGCCGTTTAAAAAAAATACATTTTTTAAAAAAAAATATTAGTAGATTTTTGTTAATTTACTAATATTTCCTTTAACCATTCCAACTAAGCTCTAGGCTTGTGCTAGGATGTTCACGACAGTCGAATGGCGGGATTCGAACCCTCGACTGCAAGATCGGTAGTCCGTACCCAAACCATTAGGCTATTGGCGCTTTCTCCGTGTACTTTGGGGAACTGGCTTGCCCACATTCATAAGTCAGTACGTATTCCAGTTGGAGACGATAGTGGGTAAGCACGGCCTGGTGGTGGTGACGCGCGCCGGCTGCGACCCGGGAAGGTTCCTCTATGACTCTGATGTACTTTACAAACATCGGGTGAGCATTATTGTACTAGCTTTTACCCGCGACTACGCCTTCT